TTATATTTTATATGGAAAAATTTTGTCGATCCCGTGATATCGAATTGTCAACCGTCCACGGCGGAATTTCGTGCATTCACAAGAAGTTGCAGCAGTCGTTCGGTGTCATGTCAATCGTCTCGACCGACGAATACAAAAAGGAATTCCACTTTAAACAGTGGTAGAAAAAAAAATTGCACCATATTAACAAATTGCAATCTTTTACCCAAATACATAATAAATAGAGAGAGACGAAGTTACGATGATGTATCATCGATAAAATCATCATCGTCGAATTCGTCGGTGGCATCTTCCGTTTCCCCACCGAGTAGTAGGATCATTAGAAAAAGGATATGTAATAAACGTAGCATTGAATCTCATTCGAAATTGAGAAAATCCATCGGGAAAAAATCCCGTTCATCTTGGGGATACATCATGTGAACATAAATTTTAAAGTTTGTGTATAAAAATGAAAAGTCATTTCGGAATCATTGATGTTACAAACAAACCAAACCAAAAAAAAAAAAAAAAAATCGTGCGAGTTTTACAGAAGACTAAAACCTTTATAAAGGTAGTTTATTCTTTTTACATAAAGTTATTATTATTATTATTATTTATCGTCGTGACTCAGAGTCATCGTTTTTTTTTTTTTTTTTTGTTACGTAGTTTTACTCGTAAATACGACTACGTATGCCCTTCATATTTGGTCATAAGATTTTTATATATAAAAAAAAAAAAAGAAAAAATTATATTATTTTATTAATGTCATTAACCAACTGTTGATGGACGATCAGGAGGACATATGTTAATCATCACTGTTTGTATAAATTATTTGTAGAACGTTTTATGTACATAAGATTTTTTAGTAAATAGAATCCAAGGAAGTGATTCTTGGTCCTATGTAAAGGTTTTTATTTCGAGGTTTATACTACCTTTTTAATTAAATTTATAAAAAAAAAAAAAAGGTTTTAAAAGTGAGAAAATACCTGTAATGCCATGTAAATCTATTTTTAATTAACCGAAAAAGGAAAAAGGGAGGAAAAAGGGGGGAAAAAGGAGGAGGAAATCGCCTTGAGGAGGAGAATTTCGTTTAACTTTCTTACATAAGCATAACATTTTTTTTTTCTTTTGTTTCTTTTTTTTTTTTATCTTATTTGTTCTGTTTTGATGATGATGATGATGATGATGATGATAACAGAATCAATTTATTATTAACTTATAAAATTATTTTTTAACTCGTGCTTGTGCTTTTTGTAACAGACTAACACATGCTTGCCTTACCATATCTTTTTTTTCTTTTTTCTTTTAGATACTTGGTTTCATCCTGATATGCTTAATCCAAAAAGTAAGTAATTTATTTATTTATTTATTTATTTGGTTTAAATGGAAAAATAATTTTTAAAATAAAAATTAACGTGAATTCGTTGCATGATAGAAAAAAAAAATGGCACTGTTTTGGTTTAGGTATAGAGAGAGAAAGAGGTAAATGGCAATCAGTGCCATCTATTGTTTTTTTTTAGAAACTATGTATCGATCGATAAAAAGTGATATGGAGACTAATTGAAAAAAATTTTTTTTTTCTTTTTTCTAAAATGTTTTAATGGTAAACGTTAGAAATTTTTTAATTGATTCATTAAAATGAATCTTTAAGTAGATTACGAGTCATCCCCAAAAAAAAATTGGTGGGGGGAGGGGGAGGGGGGAAACGGGAGCAATACGAATTCGATCAACGAAAACTCATTGAAAATAACCGGAAATGAATTTATTCGAGGGTTTTTAATTTTTTAATTTTTTTATTAATTTTTTGACGGCCATATTTTTTTTCTTGTTATTATTATTATTATTATTATTAATTTTATATATAAATTTTACGAATAAGTTAAACAAAATTTAAAAAAAAAAAAAAAAATAAAAGGAAGGTGGCGTATTTTTCGGGACAGTTCATCGAGTTTGCGCAAAAAATTTAAATAGAGAAAGAGAGAGAAAAAAAATTTTCTTTTTTTTTTTTTCTTTTT